CAAAGGGACTTGTGTTAATAAGGGATCCTCAGAACTAACCATGCCGTATGTGGACCGGAGAACTCTTGGCTAGATCTGCCCTGTACTAATCGGGCCTATTTCTAGATACCTTTTCCTCGGACTTGCGCTTGATAATTTGAATGATTTTAGAGGGGCGGGAGACTTCATACCTAACAGCAACTGCTATCAAGGATGATGATCGGACAGCTTGGCAGGGTCTACTCACCCTGTACGAGAAGCAAGATGGCAAGTATTTAGATCAGTATCGCAAGGCGGTAACAAGATTGTGTCAGATACTGGCTGCAACGTAAGTTCTCATTCTCCCAAGCCGTCGCATGCATAATATCTCCCGCTTCCTGACACGAACTTCAGCGACGACAAAGCCAGATGTCAATCTGCGGTCCAAAAGTATGTCGAATTGACAAAAAAACACGGATCTAAAGCACAATACAAGCAGGCTTTGGAGCTTCAACTCCCTTCTAGCTTTTTGTATGACATTCTCGAGGGTACCGTGCCACATCCCTCGCACACATACCTTCGTATCATAGAAATATGCGAAGCGGAGGAAAAAGAGTTTATCAACAGAGAGATTGGCGAAAGACGGACCAGGTTGGGCGCTCGGATTGACCAGGTGACCCTTGAGGTGAAGCGTGAAGCCTTCCAGCGTAGCAATTTAGATAACCTCTATCGTGAAATTATTATTTGGTCCAATGATGATGAGGTTCGCCGGAACTACGAGGAGAAGTTATTGCAACGAGCTTATGACTGGCTTCAAGTTCTTGCAGCGGGTAAAAAGAATCCAAAGCGTGAAGAAGTACAGCGTCTTGCTCGGGAGATGGTCATAATCAAGCACCCATTTGTGCTTGCCTGGAAAATTGTTTTGGAATGGCAGGATGGAGACGACCTTGCGGAGTTGGATATAAATTTGCTAAACGATTTCATAGAGCTATTTCCTGAAGAGGGCTTAAGCAAAGTCCTGAAGGGGTTTCTCGGAAGTGATATCTCACCATTCCCTAAAGAACTCACCTCGCAGTCACCGAAAGAGAACAATTCAAACACGGGGTCAAGTGAAGCCAACAACCTATCTAACCCAGAGGACCGTCTGCTATTGATGGCGGAGGGGCTGGAGCAAAGTCCAGGTTCAATCCTTGCGCACAGGATTATGGGTCAGCTTTACTTGTCTTTGGACGAGTTCCAAACTGCAGTTGATGTTGCTCGCAAAGGTATAGAAGTGATTACGGAGGTGCAACGCTTAACTGGATTGAAACTGCGCAATGCCACTGACGCTGTGAATACTACTCTCGCCAACTCCCTCATCACATACCAATCGCCAAAAAACCATCCTGAAGCAAAACAGATATTTGAAGAGATGTTGAATCGCAGGCCAACATCGACTTGCTGTTTTCTCGGAATTGGTCTGATCTTAGAAGAAGATCAAGACTACGCCACCGCAGTGGATTTTCTTGAGCAAGCGATGGAGCGAGACCCCACTAATCTAAGAATAAGGAGTGAACTGTTCTGGTGCAAGGCACATAATGGCGAACTTGAACTTGGGTTACATGGCCTACAGGAAACTGCGAACATGATGAAAGCCGATCATACGCGAAATCAGGACCTCAGAGCGGAGATATTATACCGGATCGGGTACTGCCAATGGGAATTAGATCCTTCGTTTGTAGCTCGGAAGGATCGCACCAGAGCTTACGCCAGCTTTCTTGGATCTATACAGTCGAATATGAACTACGCACCAGCATATAGCAGCCTAGGGATATATTATGAGGACTACAAAAAGGACCGGAAACGAGCACGCCGGTGCTTCCATAAGGCTTTCGAGATTTCCACTGCGGAAGTAGATTCCGCCGAGCGTCTAGCTAGGGATTTTGCAAACCAGGGAGCTTGGGATATTGTTGAAGCGATATCCAAAAGAGTGGTGGATTCGGGAAGGGCGAAACCTGCTCCGGGCTCGAAAAGGAAAGGCTATAGCTGGCCATATGTAGCTCTGGGTGTGGTAGAGATAAGCAGACAACAATATACGAAAAGCATAGTCGCGTTCCAATCCGCGTTGCGAATATCCCCTGATAATTACCAATCCTGGGTTGGACTGGCTGAAAGCTATCACAATTCCGGCCGTTATGTAGCAGCTACCAAGGCGTTTGAACATGCGGAGATGTTGGAGCTCAGCCTCCCAATATCTGAAAGGGAACAAGTTTGGTTCGCTAAGTATATGTTTGCAAATGTGAAGCGGGAACTTGGAGAATACGAAGACGCTATTGCGAGGTACGAAGCGGTATTGAATATGAAACCAGATGAGTTTGGGGTCAAAATCGCCCTTCTGCAAACCCTGAATGAAAATGCATGGAAGTGTGTCACATCAGGTTTGTTTGGAGAAGCCGCTGAATGCGCAAGGAAGGCCATCGAAACAGGAATATCCATCGCACAGCTTCATCCCGATTTGTTCAACCTGTGGAAATCAATCGCGGATGCCTTTTCCATCTTCTCCTGGATTCGGGGAAAGGCATCCCTTATGCCTATCACTGAATATAAAGGTTTTATTGAGAGTCAAGCTGATATGGCATCGTTTGAGATTCTTGCAGACGAAGATGGTGTGAGGACGGATTTTGTATCACTGCTCACTAAGTCGGATTCTGAAGACGTTTTATCACCAAACATATGCATGCACGCTGCAATTCTTGCTCAAAAACGTGCCGTATCCATATCCGCTACTGACAAACATGCCCAAGCAATAGCATGGTATAACCTTGGATGGGCAGAATATCGTGCATATATTTGCTTGCAAGGTGAGGCTAAATCGAAAAGAAATAAACCTTTCTTAAAAACAGCAATGAGGTGTTTTAAACGAGCAATCGAGCTCGAAGCTGGCAACTCTGAATTCTGGAATGCGCTGGGAGTAGTTACAACATCCTTAAGCCCCAAAGTCGCACAACATTCGATTGTGCGAAGCCTACATCTAAACCAAAGAAGCCCTCAGGCCTGGACAAATTTAGGTGCATTGTACCTTGTTCACAACGACTATGAGCTTGCAAATGAGGCATTTACCAGGGCCCAGTCAACGGATCCGGATTTTGCTCACGCTTGGCTTGGACAGGGTCTCCTTGCGTTGCTTTTTGGAGACACAAGGGAAGCCAGAGAACTTTTCAAACACTCTTTTGAACTGGGCAATTCAGCGTTAACGTTCCCGAAAAAGCAGTATGCAGTTTCCGTCTTCGACCATCTTATGTCCGACACCATGATGCATGTTGATATTCAACAGCTCATTCATCCCCTTTTTGCCCTCCACCAACTCCAGACCCAATCACCTTTCGACCTTCCATTACAACATCTTTCAGCTCTCCTGGCTGAAAGGATTGGGAGTTTTACAGATGCTACTTCTAATCTAAAAAATGTGTGTTTTGGTATGGAATTCGAATACGAAAAGTCAGAGGCGATGTCGTCATTATCTCGGTTTGCCCAGGCAAAATCGGATGCCGCACGAGTACACCTAGCTCAGATGGACTATGACGCTGCAGTTGACAGCGCAGAAACTGCTCTAAGTTTATCATCCGAGAATGCACCAGAAGAGTTTGATCCCCTAGTCAATCAGAAAATACGGCTTTCATCACATCTGACGGCAGGACTGGCCTACTTTTACCTCAAGGATATGGACAGGGCAATCGACATGTTCCGTGATGCCCTGCAAGAAGCTGATAGCTCACCAGATGTGGTATGCTTACTGGCTCAAGTTTTATGGGCCAAAGGCGGAGAAGAGGAAAGAGAAGCGGCTCGGGTTCAGTTGTTGGACTGCATTGAAAAGCATCCTACGCATGTTGGGGCCGTAACACTTTTGGGTGTCATAGCCCTGTTGGATGCTGATGAGGATTCAACTGAAGCAGTCGAGTCCGACTTGCAAGAAATGCGAACAAGTGACGATGTTAGCATCCACGATCGCGCTAAGGTCACAAAGCTTCTATCAAGTATTGCCACGCTTGTGCTTGCGAAAAACCCCGAAGTACCGAAAGAGTTAAGACAGCGTCAAGAAGCTATCACGTCCATAATGCTAGCCCCATATCAGCCACAAGGATGGGCTGCACTGTCAACAGCATCATCACTTTACCCGGCTGAAATGGCATTACAAACGGCATTGCGAAATATCCCCCCTAACGGGACGCTTGAATCAGAAAAGCTGTGTCAGTACTATACTCTAACTGGCCGTCGAGATGTAGCGGTTAGGGCGATAATGATAGCGCCTTGGGTATCGGATGGTTGGAAAGAACTTTCGCACTGTATATCAGTAGAGTGACCGTGTGGAAATGTCTTCTATCGGCATGTTTCGTTTCTATAGTTAGTGGTGGAACCATCCCATGTCTTTTAATATAGAAGAGCGTACGGAGTACAAGAGATATAGAAAAAAACAGACAATAGACCAGGCAGGCAATCATGCACGCTTCCTATGTCAATTCCCACGGATACCATTAGAGCATAAAAT